ATATATATATGTATATATATATATATATAATTGTGCTATTCTGTTATGCTGTTAATTTGGTCCATTTGGAATACCATTGAGGTTTACCCGTTCTCCTAATGTGTATTAAACTTGCAGATTAGGGTCCCATATCGACCAGTAGATTCTAAGATTAGTGCACTTTCAACAGATCGTGACAAACTTCCTTCTGGAAAGCAGATACTGGCACTGACTTTGACGTGAGTTATAAAATTTATTATGTTTCATTTATCTTTGGATCATTTGGATGGCCTTTTCTCAGTATTCTGAGTTTGCAGCTACAAGATCAAATTGGAAGATGGAGCTCAAGTAAAACCTCATATACCATTGCTAAATGACAGGATATATGACACTAAATTTGAGTCTCAATTTTATATGATTTCTGACTCAAATAAGGTATTAATATTTAATTTCCTTCTTCTAAAGATGAATGAAATAGTTTAACATTATTTCAGATTCTTTTGCTCAATCCTATGAATAATAAGTTGCATGTAAGTTAAGCTCTCATATATAGAAATGCTGATTTTTATATTTTTCTTATTTTGCAACTTTTCCTCTGACTAATTGTAATGCACTAGTAGTTAGGGTCTACATGTAGTGGGATTTATAACCTATTGGGTGAGAATGCATGTGTTAATTAACAATGGGCATTTTCCAAATGTGTGTGTGTGTATATATATATATGGATTTGATCCTCTGGAGTTTGAATGAAAACTTCAGGATGTGCAGTTATAAATCCAACCCTTAATAAATTTAATTTTAAAACATTAATTTATAATGTAATAAAATAAATTCAATGGATGAGATATGTGCAGTTTTACTAGTAAACTGCAGAGGATCATAATCCACACACACATATATATATATATATTCAATATGGCTCTGTTTCTTCCATTTTGGTAGCTCTTGTTCATGTTTGAAAATTCTTTTTTCTAAGGAAATAATTCCATATTTTTAAAGCTCTCATAAAAAGCAGGGAAAAAAAATAAAACAATTATTTCTCTAAAATAAACATGTACATCGTTTGCTTCATATATTTTATCTCTTTTTTTGCTTTTTCTGTTCTGATTATAGCGCATATATTCAAGTGGAGATGTCTATCCAAGCTCTTCTAATCTTCCCAAGGGAGAATATACTTTACAGTTATATTTGAGGTACACATCTCTTTCTGAGCATAAAATCTGGATGAGTGAACATATTTGTTTGTACCCCCATTGGAGCTTTGCATAGACCTGATGAAATGTGACTGTAAAATTTGAATTGTATTTTACAATTCATGGGTAGTTGTTGAATGCTAGTATTGAATTAACATTGTTGAGAGGACTTGGAAGCTCTTTTTAGTTACGTTTAAATGTGTTTTTGATTCCTATAATTTATCGTGTTTTTGATTTTGGTTATTGTAATTTTTTTAAGTTGGTCCTTGTATTTTTTTTTTCCCCTTGTTATTTTGTTTTAGTCATTATAATATATTTATTTTATTTTTTTAGTTCCTAGAATATTTTTTTCATTTTGGGTTATTGGTAGGATTAAAAGAAAACTTTTCGCATATTACAAGGACAAGGATGAAAAAATGTTTATATTAAAGGACTAAATTAAAATAACAAGGACCAAAACCAAAAAAGTAGTATATTATGGACACCAAAAATATATTTAAGTCGTGTAGTTATTAATACTTGTAAAGTTGTAATAGGGAAGCTAGCATATTACTAGTGGAATATTTCTAGGTTCATGAAAGATTTATACATAAAAGTGCATACAAATTAGCCCCTTACTGATAGAACACCAATTGAACAGTATTATTGAATCACACAAAATACATTGAATGCAGCAGTATTTGCTGTTCCAGAGTCATGGACTCCTTCAGAGATTAGTTCTCTGTCCAAAGTACAAGGAAATAAGACTGTCACATTTATATTCCCTCTTCTAAAAACATTTAATATAACTTCTCCCAACTCTGCTCAAAATTTTCAACATGACAGTTATTATTGAACATATTCTAATACATAACTGCTAATGACTTTTGTTATTCAACATTTTCTGATAATGAATTAGCTCCTATTTTTCTGCCTATAACTGCCAACATTAGAGTTATTATTACACTTATATCTAATGATACATGACTGCTCATGACAGTTCTTGGTTACCATCCCTTGCATTCCGAATAGTTTTTAATTTATTTGTTTCAGGCATGACAATGTGCAGATTTTGGAGAAGATGAGGCATCTGGTGTTATTCATTGAGCGAAATTTGGAAGAAAAGGTAGTTTATCATATAAATTTTTGTATTTCACAAACTGTGAATTGCTGCAAAGTCTAGAAGAGGCTTTCCACTATGATTGATGGTTTTTAAATAAGCATCGAGTATGTGACTCATGATAAAGATAGGGTCATGAGTCACCATAAATCTTATAAAAAGGGAGGGTTTTGAAAATATGATTGAATGATATTCTTACTAGACTACTAGTATATTCCAATCACATGGCAGCTACAAAGTTCAGATAATGCTGTTACATGCCCAAATTCAAAATCCTTTTATCTGGAATTCTCAAAAGTATTTATAATTCCCTATAATTGATCCTTGTGTTTGAAATTTTTTATCGAGGTATACATGCCTCCATCCAATAGTGCTTATGTCTACCTATAAAAATTCTGTACGCCCTACTAAAATTTATATTATAAGTATTCTTTCTATCTATTTATTCATTTCCTTATTTATGTCTCTTTTGTTTGTTTCCAGGATGTCATTCGGTTAAGTTTTTTCTCTCAACCTGATGGCCCACTGATGGGAAATGGTTCCTTTAAGTCCTCATCATTAGTTCCAGGGTATGTGAATAGATTTGTAGTCCTAACGTAATGTCTTCTTGTGTTGTTGTGCTGACTTTTGCTTATTGGTAGTATAAAAGAAGGATTATATATTGGTCCACCACCAAAAGAAAAGCTTCCCAAGGTATATTTCTATCCATTGTCAACCTTTCAAATGTTGTCACTGGCTGTGCGTTATGGTATTTGTAAAATTTCTGCAGAATTCTCCACAAGGATCTGTATTGCTAGGGGCAATTTCATATGGGAAACTATCATTTGCTGATCAGGGAGAGAACAAAAATCCTGAAAAGAACCCTGCATCATATCGGATATTTTATGTAGTTCCCCCAAATAAGGTCATCCTCTGTCTCATAAAGTTGCCTTCCTTGAGGTCTTGTTATATGCATTTAAAATTAATTGCACATCCCTTGCTCATAAGTGGATGCTTTGTGCAAGCACTGGGATGGGCTGTAGTTGAAAACTATCTTATAATATATGACTAAAGTTAATGTCTAATTACGTGTCTTCTTTCGAAAGATTGATGAGGACAAGGGAAAAGGTTCTTCTATATCTTCCAAGAAGAATGTTTCAGAACGTTTAAAAGAAGAGGTATGCAAGTCATACATCAGTAAAAGAGCTTCCTTTTTGTTTTTTTATCCAGTTTCCTTTTTTTAATTATGATTCAATATATACTCTTTTTGCATCTTTTTTCTTTTCAAGTCAATTTCATTGTTATCCATGCTTGCATTGTTATACTTCAAAACTTTCATTATTTGAAATATTGGTAAATGGCTGTGAATGAGGATGTCTAAAGAGAAGTTTGTTAGCACACCTTAGACTGAATTTATTTAATCCTTGAAGTTAATTACCATTCTTGATTCAATTCAATGGCATTTTATGGAACATTTTCTATTTGTTGATTCTGTATTTGGAAACATATCTTCGAGAATCTTCCATTGTCTTGAATATTAAATTATAAATTGGTTATTCACTTTTTTAAAATAAAAATAAATAGGATGAGTCATGGCTAAAATGAGTAAATGATCTATGCATTGTTTTTCTTCTATTTTGGTAAAGTAATGCATGTGTGTTTTAATTAACATTTAAGCGGAGCATGCATGTATATTGTATAGTATATAAGTTGTGAAACAAATCAGTGTAAGTATCTTATTTACTTTAATTATGCGTAGACTTTTTTTCATGATGTAGATTTTATTCTATGGATTTTAGAATGTTTATCTTATCTCTTGGTGGTTCTTTAATTTTACTTGTCCATCAGGTAAGAGATGCAAAAATAAAAGTTCTAGCAAGCCTAAAACAAGAAACTGATGAAGAGCGCTTGGAATGGAAAGAGCTATCCGCCTTGCTTAAAGTCAGTACAGAAAATTTAGTCTGAATTTATCTTTTGCTTTCATTTTATTTTTTCAGTTCCATAATGATCGACATATATTAATTTGCAAGATAATTTTTTTTTCTTGTTTTTATGTTTTTCAAAATTGTAATTGGCTGTATTTTCTGATAAATCATAAATATATTCAGTTGTTTATTCTCTGTATTATAGATTAAATAATACATGAATATGTTATGCTTCCTTGCAGTCAGAATATCCAAAGTACACTCCATTACTTGCCACGATTTTGGAAGGTTTAGTTTCTAGCAGTAATGTCAAAGACAAAATCCATCGTGATGAAGAGGTACATTTTTCTGGTGGAAGCAAATGTTTTTGATTCTTATATTTTTTTTTCACATCATTTCTCCGATTTTCTCTCATTTCATCATATATATATATATATATATATATATTTTAAACTTGTTCGAAAACTTGAATGTGGTTCAGGTTGACCTTTGAGGTTTTGGGGTTTCATTATTCTATTGGATTCTCAATTTTTTTTTTTTTTTACCAATAAGTTGACAATTTGAGTTTGGAACTTAATTCAAATCTACAAATCTGACTTATAAAGTGAAGACTGTCCAAGTCATATTTGGATCATATTAGTTGTATCTTTAATCGATGTGTGATTTCAATTCACTAAGAGCCGAAGACTTGGTCATATTTGGATCATATTGGCTGTTATCAATAAGTTGACAATTTGAGTTTAGGGCCTAGGGCCTAATTCAAGTCTACAAAATTGACTTGGAAAGTGCAGACCATCTAAGCCATATTTGGATCATATTGGCTATATCTCTAATCAATGTAGGATTTCAACTCCAAGCCATATTTGGATCATATTGGTTGTATCTCTAATCAATGTGGGATTTCAACTCACTAAGAGCCGAAATAGGTCATAATCAAAAGGCTAGGCTTAGACTGTTTAAAAAGCCTTTTAAACTAAAAAGATCATACTTTAGACTTTTAAAAAAACTTATCAGGCATAATAAGCTGGCCTATTTTGTTGTGATTCAGGAATTGTGTGTATTGTTGTACACATACCAATCTTATTTATAGAGTGAATACAATAAATGATAGAGATACTAATCTCTAATATTATGGAAACTAATCTAATCATATCCCTAATTGATAGTGAGGATAATAGCCCATAATATATGTATCCACAATATCTGTAATATATTCACAATATCTGTAACACTCCCCCTCAAGCTGGAGCATATATATCATATGCACCAAGCTTGTTACAAATGTGATCAATCCGAGGTCCTTTAAGCGATTTTTGTGAACATATCTGCTAACTGGTCACCGGAGGCAGCAGTCAGAGGCGGCGATCGGAGGCAGCGACCGAAAGCGGCGATCGAAGGCGACGGCCGCCTGAAGCGACGGTCGGAGTCAGCGACTGGAAGCGGTTGTAGGTGGCGACTGGAAGCGGCGGTCGGAGTTGGCGACCAGAAGCGGCGACCGGAAGTGGCGGTCGAAGTCGGCGATCGGAAGCGGCGGTCGGAGTCGGCGACCAGAGGCGATGACTGGAGGCGACGGTCGGAGTTGGCGACCGGAAGTGGCAGTCAGAGGTGGAAATCGGAAGCGACAGTTGGAGGCGGCGACAGGAAGCGACCAGTGACGACGGTGTGACGACCCGAGGTGGCGGTCGGAGGCGACAACTGAAGGTAGCGACCAGAGGCGAAGGTCGGCGGCGCGGCAACTGGCGGCACGACGACCGGAGGCTGCAGTCGGAGGTAGCAACCAGAGGCGGCAGTCGGCGGTGCGACGACAGGAGGTGGGTCTTGAATACACACCCTCATGTCCATGGTGCATGTAGCAATGAATGGTAGGTGGCCCTTTTCTAATTGATGGGACTTGAAATACACCCCCTCATGCCCATGGTGCATGTATCAATGAATGGTGGGTTGCCCTTTTCAGTGATCTAGGATAGGCGGGACTTGGGTTTTTTTTATTTATTTTTATTTATTTTTTTTATTCAGGAATTGTGTGTATTGTTGTACACATACCAATCTTATTTATAGAGTGAATACAATAAATGATAGAGATACTAATCTCTAATATTATGGAAACTAATCTAATCATATCCCTAATTGATAGTGAGGATAATAGCCATAATATATGTATCCACAATATCTGTAATATATTCACAATATCTGTAACATATTTAAAATATAAAATAATATTTTATACTATATATTAATTTATGTTTAATATTTAATTACTAATAATATATTTAATACTTATGCTCACTGGCTTAATTAGGCCTATTAAAGCCACATAATCAGGCTTTCATGCCAAACCTTAGGAGAATGCTCGTAACAGATAAATAGGCTAGACTCAGGTTTGGTAATTTTGTTATAGGTCAGGCTCAGGCCTGCCAGAGCCTGGCTTGTTTCCACCCCCTATACTACACTACGACTTTGTTTCCACCCCAACTCTACACTACGATGCTTCAATCAACTTTTCTGGTCAGTCCCTTTGTAGGCAGTCCTTTCCAAGACACTTGCAGCCTTGGTTGGGATAACTGCAGTAAGATGGCTTTCGAAAACAAAAATATCATGTAGTCAACAGTTTCTATTAAGATGTCCTTCATTGACTAAGAATATGGTCAAAATACTCCTTATAAGATCTAATCTAAGCAAGCCTCTTTTACCGAGTTAGTTGTTGGGATTGTGTTAGGCCAAATCTATTTCTAGCAGTTTCCAATATTTTAGATATAATAAAATGGAATATTAAATGAGTACAAACTAATTTATAATTAATTTGGGTGCATAATCTACTTGATGTGAAGTTATGAACTTTTCGTCCAACTATGGTTTTGATAGGAGCTGGTTATTTTATTATAGAAAAACTAATATTTCATCCCGGCACAGGATATCTTTTTTTATTTTTGGTAACTAAAATTTATAATTAATAAATATTTCTGAATATATTAATTATATTATAATAAAAATTTGTAATAAATTTTTATATAAAAACTATATGTAAGATTTATGATAAATAACATGTTGTGATACAAAATAATTTTTAGTTATGAATAATTTTGTTAAAATATAATGAAATTTAACTTTAAAATAACAAAATGATAGATTAAAAGAGATAATAGGTTGAGAAAAATCTCCAAAAATGTTCTTGTTAAAGAAAAATAGCTTATTGAAAAGTACAGATTGCTTTTAATAATATAAAATTTTAATTTAAAAATAAGTATAACCATACAAATTCAAATAAATAAGAGGTTAAGTAAATCTCTAAAATCAGTATCATTGAAAAAGAAAAGACGCTTAATAAACCCCTAACATTGCTTTTGTGAAAAATAACTATTCTCATTTATATATAAAGTGATTAGGGATAAACTCCAAAAGAGTGATCAGAATCACGGGTTCCTCACGCTCACTACAAAAGAAGAAAACAGAAAGATAAAAATATTGCTGATCTTCCAGGGTCTAATTCCTCCCTGTCCTGATACCCTAATTTGTTATTGAATAAGTGGCTAAACTTTTCCTCTCACCCCACCTTTTCATCATTTACCCTAGCAGATTGCACACCTCGGTTCCAACCTTACCTCCTACCTTCCACATGTGCAGATTGGTTATACTATAAATTTCAATCTTGACTCTTGGTTGCCTTATAATCCCATCCTAGCTACCATAGTTATCTTTGTAATTGTTTGAGTCATAACAGGTTTATATGAAAAATACATCCTATAGAAGTTTGTACTGGTGTTGATTAAACTATGAATATCATGATTGTAATTTGCAGGTGATTGATGCAGCCAATGAGGTGATTAACAGTATTGACAGAGAAGAGCTGGCAAAGTTTTTTGCACTAAAAAATGATCCAGAAGATGAGGAAGCAGAGGTGCTCAATCTTGTCTTTTATAGTTATTTTATCGCTCATTCTGAAATGGTTACTAAATGTAACATAAGATATGCATAAAGCCAGTATGGTATTGTAATTGTGTTTATATAATCTATTAAATATTAATACAGTAAGTACAGTAATATAGGGGAGCAGCTACAGGCCTCAATGAACTATATGTAGCCTACTAACTAATCACAGCTATCTGTTATGAGGACGTCCTACAGCTACTTATTTAGCATTTTCTGAAACAGTTTTTTTTTGGGTGTCGTAGCATTTTCTGAAACTAACAATTAACATGTAACATGTAACAGTTACACTCAGGTTGTTCTATTTGTGCAAAATGCAAAAATACTCGCGAGCATGAATACATCTATATAACTCGTACTGTCTGTTTATTTAAGTATGGAATATTAACTATAGGGATCTAATTACACTCTTGTGAAATATGTTGACATACTTGGAAGTTCTCAAATAGTAGAGACTTTGTTGAAAATTCTCAAATAGTTAGCGTTCTATAGAGAAATTTAACCTTATAATAGTTATTTAACTGTAAACATTGTAAACGTGATATATGGTACACATTTATTTATACTGTCGGTATCAAGTGTTAACATTGTTCTTTGCTTAGTTTATTATAGTAGTTAATTGTATCTATGTTGATAAATATATTCTGTACTACTTTCAAACTGCATTGTGGTACACGAGCAGAGCATAAATTTCAAGAGAGTTTTCTGTGAGTTGCTCGAGTACACTCAGCATGCTGTATTTGCATTGTGAAAAAATAATACAACTTATATTGATAAATGGTATCAGTGTTGATAAATAAATTTGGTACTACTTTCACACTGCATTGCGGAACTCAAGAATAAATTCAAGAGAATTTTCTTTGAATTGCTGGTGTACACTCAGCATGCTGATATTTGCGTTGTGTAAAAAAAAAATACTACAACTTGTACATTTACTAGAAGAAAAGGAATTGGACTATTTTCTAATAGCCTTGTGTTCCCAATCCTTTATAAATTCCTATTGTTTCCCAAGCTATATTTATTGTGGTCATGTTCATCAGTGGTTATGCATTTAATGATCTGTCATTCTCACTGTAGAACATCAAGAAAAAGATGGAGTTAACCCGAGACCAATTGGCAGAGGCCATGTACCAAAAGGGGCTTGCACTGGCAGAGATCGAGTCTATAAAGGTTTGAGCTTTTATTCTTTTTCTGATCAGGCTCTTTAAAGCAATTATTAAACATTTTGAATAACTTTAAATTCATGCTAAACAAAGTGAAGAACCATGCAGATGATATTACAAAAGTATGTTCCATTTGTCATGTTAGGTTAATAGAGAACTTGTTTTGTCCTAGTAGCTGTTTGAAGCAGTAGTGCCTGATCTTGTAAAATTATTAAAAATATATCCACGAATAGGAAATATCCCTGTAGAGGTTACAATTTAAGTATTTTCTTTTGTAAAATGATTAAAATCCCATTGAATGTCTAATTTTACACTAACAGTGTGTATAAATTAAATTCATAATCTTTTTGAAACTACAATTCTCATGACCATGATATTTATGGATTTTGTTACCCGCATGTACCATGTAGCTATAAAATTCAACATCTTTTCACTTACAGTATCCTTTGGTTAGTTTGAGTCGAGTCATTTGCATTATTCTTCTGAAGAAAGTGCGGAGACCCTCCTTATAAATGAGTCACATTTTCATTATGATAGTGGTAACATTTAATTATTTTTTACCAATAAAAGTTGGCAGACTTGACTTGGTGTATATTGTCAAAGGACGTAGATAAGTCCCCGGGTTTGGTTACCACAGAAGAGGCAAAAGACATGGACCAAAAACAATCTACGGATGATCGTGGTCATGAAGATTTGTTTGAAGAGAATTTTAAAGAACTGAAGAAATGGGTTGATGTGAAGTCAACTAAATATGGAATCCTCTTGGTAACACGTGAGAGGCGTGCTCAAAGGCTTGGGACAGCTTTGAAGGTATTTTTTTTTTTTTTCGTGAGTCTTCCATTGGTTGCTGCATGTAACTCATCAGTTTATAAGTACTAGTTTTCTAATAATATCATACTCGAGTATGTAGACTCCGGACTCGTTACTATTCTTTGATCCCCAGTAAGATTTATTTGTAAGTAATCATGAATTATCAGTGTTTCTAAAACTGGACTAATTGTTGAATTAGCAAAGGTATTTCAATGGTTTAACCTTAGTTAAACAGTGAAATTAAATATATTTTAATTTTGTTTATAATATATTACGCATTACACATATTAATATGCATTCATAATAATGCAATTTGATTCAAAGTTCAACAATGGACATAACATTCGTAAGTTCATAAAAAGTAATCATACCCAAAACTAAATTCAAACATGACAGTATTTAATAACGAATCAGCTAGTCCTATGAAAAAAACTCGAAAGGGTGTGATCTGGTTGTGTGGATTGCATGAATCTGACACAGTTTATTGGTTTTGGGTCAAATTGACCATTCTGGTCAGGTTTTTTCATCATTGCATATTGTAATGTGTGATTAATGGATAAAACTCGTCAGCGAGAGTATTATTATGATTTATAATTAGGCAATCTATAATCATGAAGTAACTCTTGCGTGTATTGATATTTTGATGATGATAGGTAATAGAGAAAGGGACTTTGGGTAGATAAATCACCAACTACATCTGAACTTCTTCTCTCTTGATTCAGGTACTGTGTGACATAATTCAAGATGATGCAGAGCCTGCCAAGAAGAAATTCTATGAGCTAAAGCTCTCTTTGCTTGATGAGATGGGATGGACACATTTAGCTGCATATGAGAGACAGTGGATGCATGTGCGTTTCCCGCCAAGCTTGCCTCTTTTCTAGGGCCTTCCCAACGGGATTATGCTGGATAGCAATGCTTGAAATTTGAAACCATATCCTTTTCCTCAATATTTTGCATCTGAGGATAATTTATGTAACATAAGACCTTTTTACGCTTGACCTATCCTTTTCCTTTTTAGGGTCATCATGGCCTGGGTATTTCAAACATTGCATGGGAACTTTGCCATTAAGGTGTATTGCCAAGCCTTCAGTGTGGCTGCCACATCAAAGGCATCGTCAATCCCATTTGCATTTATTTAATAATTAATAACACAATAAAGAGTGTTTTCACTTGTCTTCCCTTGATTTTTGTTTCCGGTACCTTTTTATTTTTTAATTAAAGTTCAGTGTCTCTGAAGTGATTCAGATAATTATTGAATAGTTTACATTGATCTTTCATTTGTTGGATTTAATGTTTTATGTCCGTAGGGTCAGTGAAGAAAAACGAATGGGGATGAACTCCATTCCCTATCCTCTACCCAAATTCCAGAAATGCCCTTTAGGCTTTCCCATCCCTTATTACTGGATCATGGTTGTTTTATCGCTTAGAATCCTATCCACTAACCAGTTGCAACCTGTCTAGTTTGTTACCGACTCTATTCTTTCTTTGCCTTCAACTAGCCATTGACATGATCCTCGTTCTTCTCCAAGTACACTCTCATATACCTACTATGTCCTCAACGTATGTTTGAATGTCCTCAAATGATTCTCATGATTCTATTGTTTCCCTACTGCACAAGTACTTTCCATGAAGCGTTAAGAGACCGGTGCCAGCTAGGATAGCTACTGTAGACTGTTGCTCTAAAGATCCAGTTAAAACTTGGGAGGTGGTTGTCAACTGTATGGCTTTATGCATCAGACATCTGGAAATGGTATATGAACCGGTTCCCAATGACCAAGCGAATTTGGAAAACATACAGCAACGGATACGCAATATCCCATCGGTGAGAATGCCACAGTGGCTGTATTGTAATCGAGCTTATATAGAATAATTTATTTCCTCTAAAACTATCTTCCAATAACTTCTTGACATATTTTTATATAAAAATATGTATAAATAATATTTGTAAGAAATAATTACTTTCCTCCAAAAATTTTCTCTAGTAACTTCCTTATACATATTTCTATATAAACTATTATTATAAAATAAAATTTTACAATAAATAATTAAAAACAAATATATCAAAATAATTATCTAATAAAGATGTTTTAGATTTTATAACGACTTGTCAAGTTCTTACATTTTACAATTTAGCAATTAGTTGTGAAAATAAACATCTAACTACCTATGATTAACATACAAACAGTATTTGAATACGCGTATAATAATATATACATGTATAAATTTGTTCTAACAATTGGAATAATATTATAACTATGCAAGTATATATATATATATATATATATATATATATATATATAGTATAACCCTAGATTGTCGGTCAAACAACATTATAAAATTAAATGAGTTAATCACCTATACATTATCAGTGAAATTTTTTTACACCAGTAATTAATTATATCTTTTAATTGTGTCATGTCAGTATAAATACATTTATTTTTAACAGTGATATGACACAACTAAAAGATATAGGTGATTAACTCAAATTAAATTATCTACTTCAAGGTAGTTCAAAAGATCAACATAGTCATTTTTCAACATGACTTTCAACAACTCCACCTCCAACTTTTTCCTATCCTGCTTCCTTATAAATATTATCATCATTGTTTAATCACAAGGAAACTTGCAATGATAAGTTAGTGTTCAAAAGAAATCAACAAGTATAGAAGAATTATCTGGGTATACAACAACATAGCAACCCAACTAGCATCAACATTTAACCCTTACAACCCAACCACACAACACAACAAATTCTTGACTTACAACACTTCTTTACACCTTCAACATATCAACATGGCATATGAATAGCATCACATCATTCCACTTGAACAACATAACAATGCTGCACTTATCAACACAACAACATAACATATGTACAACATTCTTTATCTACTCAATAACATATACACAACATAACAACTAAATATGTAATTACGCATTTCAACCAAGAAATCTCTTACAACATAGGTAAGTTGTATAAGTAGATTGTCTCTATCAAAATAACTAAAAACGCGATCTTTTGGACTACCTAGATCAACAACTAATTTGGATAAAAACTCACAATACCATAGTTTCTTGAATTTTGTCACTTGAACTAAGAAATTCTAGTATTCTTGTTAGGATAGAACAACTTTATGAGTTTACTACGACCTTAGCATGCATAACTAAGTCTCTTATGAGATTAGTTTGTCGACTAGCTTCTAAATACTATGCCTCTTCCAATACATAGGGATTATGGCCTTTGACTTTGTACGTTACTTTATTCGGTTGCTTTGTACATGCTCAACTTGGCCTCTATACGTATCAACATTTAGTTGTTTTATAATTAGTATAGCTCAACCAATCCCTATACTGTGAAATATTTCTGATGAAATAAAATTCGTAGGAAAAGTTATATTACTGATGAAATATTTCCGACAAATTTATATTTGTCAAAAATGTAAGATTTTTAACAAAAATTGACAATCATTATTAAAAAGGATCAATAAAATTTTAAATATATATATACATATAAAGAGAGAGAGAGAGGAAGAGGAATCAAATGACTCACAAAGTAACTCTTGGTAAAGTTACTCCACTCAATAACTCATGGTGTATGTTGAATTTCATTGATCTAATTTTTAAATTAAAAGTTATTAAATTTTACTAATAATTAATATAAAAAAATTTGATTAGTTTTGGAATAAATTATTCGCTAACAATATAGTTGAAAAATTAATTATTTTAAATTATTTAAATAGAATCTTATTGACAATTTACTATATGATCTTGATATTTTTGTATAACTAATATCTGATTTTAAATTTGATATGAAAATATTATGATATAATTAGATAAGATTTTAAATTAATATTTTATTAATGGTTGATAATTAGAAAGTAAAAACAAGGATAAATACATTTTTTGAATTTTATATATTAGATTTAAGATAAATAAATAAATTAAGTTAATTAATAATTTATTTAAAATGTTAAAATTTAATTTATAAGTATGTAATAAATAAATATTTATAATTTTATAAATTATATTATCATTATAAATTATAAAAATAAATAATTTAAATTATAATTTTAAATAGAAATAAGTAGATGTTAATTATAAAAGTAAGTACATATAAATAAAGAAGTAAGTATATATATAAATAAAGATTAATTAAATATAATATAATTATTATTGGTAATATAATTATTATATATATTTTTATATTTTTATAACAGTCCGAACACAACGGAATGAGAGAGATCTACAAATAGAAAAAGTATGAGATTGTAAAGTTGAGGATAACTTAAATGAATTAATTTGTACTACCTATACCAACAACGTGCATCTATTTTTCGGTAGCTTATCTCATCAGAAATCCATAGTTAAGCGTGCTTGACTTGGAACAATATAGGGACGAGTGACCTTTTAGAAAGTTTCTTAGAAATTGTGTAAGTAAGGACAAAGCATAAGAAGCCAAATATGAAGGGTATTACATTAATAAATTTATTAAAATTAAATAGAAATTTTTCGACGGATATATTCGTCGAAAATTTTTTATGGATTAAATTATTTTCGACGCCTCTATTTCCAACAAATTTGCATCCTATTTCCGACGGATATTCTTTTTTACCGACGAATTATGTTCGTAGGAAATTTGCCCTTTTTTTGTAGTGCTTTTCTCAACAAAATCCAACTGAACACATTAAAAACAACACATGTATTCCATAATTCTTCTTCTACACACCTCATACAACTTAAAACACACAAAAAAAAAATCAAATGCAACCACTAACAAACTCAAAATCATCAACCCATCTTCATCCTTTGAAAACCTAGAAGTCTCACAACACGAACTTCATACATTCTCAACATAAAGGCCACTAAAAGGCCAAACAACACAAAAATAAACACATGCAACACAGAGGAATCAATCTACAAGCTTCCATTATCTCAATTTGTAATATTCTAAATTTTTAATACAATATTATACTATTCTTAATTTTATTATTATTATTATTATTATTATTATTATTATTATTATTATCTTATTCTTAAAATAATAGTCTAAATTTCTAGTTGACATATTTTAAGATAAATATAGATTAAGTACAATGTTTTTATATAATACATTAAATTTTTATTACAATATTTTTAGTAAACTAAAATAGAATATATAATATTTAATTATTTATAATATTTTTTATAATAACATTTTAAGTATGTTAAATTTTAAATGTTTAATATAAGTAATAAAATTATCTCTTATAATATAGATAGATAGAAAAAAATATAAAAAAAACTACTACAGATAAAATCTACAGCATGTACGGATCCTTATCTATAAGTAACAAAAATTATCTATAAGTAAGGGGGACTTAAAACTTCTCATTCATTTCTAACTAAATAGAATAAAAAAATTCATTACAAGTTTTTATTTTCTATAAATAGGCAAAGGGGGAGGGGACCATCAGGAGAAAGAGAGAAAGAGCGTGAAGAGAGGAATTAGGAAGGAAGAGAGAAAGAGAGCACGAAGAAGGAAAGTGAAGAAGAAAAAAAAAGAAATTCTTTTACGTAGTTTTAGGTTGTCTAAGTTTAATGCCCAATTTATATAATATTAAGCAAGTAAGTGAGGTTAGAGACACCTCACTAAATAAATACACATAGATATAACATAAAATAAATAAATATAATAGTATATAAACTTTAAAAAGATAAATGTCTCCTCCCTCTTACCTTAGTGGAAAAATGAAATGACTCGAAGGTACTCTAAAATTGTATATTTCTTTTTTCTTTTCTCTCTTCCTCATTAATATTCATTCTCTCCGTAAGTTCTCTCTTTCTCTCTTCTCAAATTTTTTTTAGTTCCATGTTCTCTCACCCTATGGCCTATTTATAGTAAATTTGGTAATTATTACTTTTGGTTGCATTCTAATGATATATAGTTTGATTACTATATAATTACATAGCTAGTTACCATGCAATAAATGTTTTAGATAAGCCTTATCTATACATTTAATGTAGATAAGGTATCTTTTTTTGTTTTTGTTTTTTTGTTTTTAAACTTCTTTCTTCTATAATATATATATTTATATATATATATATATATATAAATTTAAAATATTAAACATTTAACAATTTTAAATATTCATTTTTCATAATAGTAATTAAAATATCATTCTTAAAAATATTATAAATAGGGTTT